GGGCGCCTGTGCTTCCGCAGCCCCGCACGCGGCTTCCGCTGCCAGGCGCCCAGCTGTGTGGCGCTCTCCTCGGCCGGCCGCTCGCTGCGCGCGAACGTCCTGCGCAACCGCAGCGTGCTGCTGCAGTGGCGCCTGGCGCCGGCCGAGGCGCGCCGCGTGCGCGCTTTCGCGCTCAACTGCTCGTGGCGCGGCACCTACATGCGCTTCCCCTGCGATCGCGTGCTGCTCGGCGCCTCCTGCCGCGACTACCTGCTGCCGGACGTGCACGACAGCGTGCACTACCGCCTGTGCCTGCAGCCGCTGCCGCTGCGCGCCGAACCCGCCTCCGCCGCCGCACCGGAGCCCGCCGAGTGCGTGGAGTTCACTGCCGAGCCGGCCGCCATGCAGGAGATCGTGGTGGCCATGACGGCGGTGGGCGGCTCCATCTGCGTCATGCTTGTGGTCATCTGCCTGCTGGTGGCCTACATCACCGAGAACCTCATGCACCCGCCTGTCAGGCGCCCCGGCCTGCGCAGGCAGGCCTGAAGCGCAAGGCGGTCTGCCCATCTGGGCACAGCCTGCCCAAGTACGCCTGAGACCCCAGGCCCTACGTCTGCTCCCGTCCCTCCTCCTCATTCCCGCTCCCTCTTTAAGATCCCCACGGAGGGCCTGATGGAGACGAATAGGGAACCAGCCGGTCCACACAGGTATCTTTGCATCGTCACAAGACCTTCTCAGTCGGGCGTCTGCTTTCCAGACTCTGACTCCGAACTGGCCCTTGGGCCTGGGATGGGGTGCCAGCTGCATCCAGGTCTCTAGGCTTTCCAGAGGCCTTTACCAGGGGGCCCAGGACATATAGCCCCTTCCAGCAAGAGCCAGTGGCACCTGGGATCATCACCCTGAACCTCCATCCTCTGCCAAGTCGTCGAAGACAGGCCATGGTCATTGCTTGGTCGCTTTGTGCTTTACAGGTTGGGGGAGTGGCCCCTTGGAGCCCGTGTTCCCCCCTGCCCTACCCCAATGGGCTTAGGTTAGCTTTGTGCCTTAGTTCCTCAGGCCCACCGCAGGAGCCAGCCATCACCCCACTGCTGTCCAGGGGGTCTGTGGCTCTGAGACTGGCTGGCTTTGCATGCTTCTGGCCAGAGTCCCCCTGGGAACACCCCCTTCAAGCTTTGCGGAAGGCCTGGGGCAAGGGTAATCAGGCCTCTTAGTGTCTTCTGTGGGTCTGACCAGCCAAGAGCCACGATGTAGCCCAGCAGGCCAGGCCCAGCATCGGGTTGCTGCGTCCAGGGGTGAGTGTCCTCTAGGTGCGGGAGGCTGGTGATTCCCCAGGGCCAGGCCCCCTTTCCTTCTATGTGTACTGCCTCTGGTTAGGACTTTCTGTGCGGAGTGAGGGCAGGTGGTTGGAAGGATGGCATTGGACCCCAAGGGCAGAAGGAGAGCTGCCAGCCTAGCCCAGCCGGATCTGCCACAGTGGTCTGGATCCTAAGCCTCAGTCAATCCAGGAGACCTCAGTGGCCACAGTGTGACCAGCTGCAGTGTACTCCCAACTCTTTTCATGATTGGGGGTTGAGAGTCCAGGATCTGACCCCCCCAGTAATGCTGCCCATCCACCCACCATGGACAGAGGCTGGGCTTACCCACCTCCTGGCAGATCTGAGCTCCTGGCTGAGGTCACTCAGCCACCTGGTGATGTTGGCACCCATGGGAGGGTGGCACTGCCTGGCTCTCCATGAGCCCCTGGCTCTTATCACCTGGACTTGACCCTTGCACCTCCTGGCCACTATGGCTAATTATCTTCCTACCCCAGGGACCACCAGCAACCATGGGCCCTGGCTGGTGCCCCTGCAGCACCCCACACCCTACCTCTGTCTACGCTCTGCCCACACCCCGCATGGCGCTGGTCAGGTTCCAACCTGGCGCCAATGTCTAAATGTCCATCATTCTCAGACCAAAAATACTGTCTTGTGTGTTTATTTGAGATGGGGAGGGAAGTGGGGGTGGGAAGGCCGAGACCTCTCCAAGGTCTTTTAGCATCAGTCTGGTGGCAGCTTCAAACCCTTTTCCTGCCTGAGGCTGGGCCCCAGGCAGGGTGCACAAGCATGCTGAGGGCTGTCACAGCAGGAGGACAGGCATCCCACAGCCTGTCCTCCCCTGCTCCCCAGACCTTGGGAAAACAGGCTGGCCAGCTGTGTTGAGCGGGGGAGGGGAGGTAGCACCAGCTGTAGTTAGAAATAGCAGGTCTCACGGGTGACCCACTTGAGCTGTGCCAAGCAGCAATTAGGTGCTCTCCTCAGCGGGGCCTCCCTGTTCTGTGCTGGAGCTGGGGTGGGGCAGTGTGAAGACAGAGGAGGGGCCTGCACAGCCCTTCCCGGTCTGGACTGTCCTTGAGCCACATTGCTGCTGGAGGAGAGGCTGAGCTCTGCAGAGTGACTCATCCCCAGGGGCCGATGCAGCAAAGTGTCTAGACAGCCTAGCAGAAGTGGGAGGGGGTTCTGGAGAGCTGCCTGCTATCTTGGCTCCCTGGGGCCCAAGCCACCTTCAGCCACAGATGTTAGGAGGGGGAGCCCTTGGCAGCACCCTGTCTGAGGCACCCCAGTGTCCCACCCGCAGCTCACAGGTACAATCAGGGTCCCAAGCTTTGGGAGTTGAAGTTGTACGAAGCCTCCTCAGGCCCTTGACCTGGCTTAATCTCCTGCCAGCTAAGTCCACAGGCTGCCAGTAATACTTGCAGTGCCCAGAGGCCACCTTGGGTTTGCAGAGATGGGCTTGAGCAGACCTGCCACTGCAGGAAACAGTGAGCAGGGTTCAGCCTGAAGTGGGTGTCCCAGCCAGCAGCACCTGCTGCTGAGCTCACAGGCATTCCCATAGGCCCCTCCTTGCCCAGGGGTCACTTCTTGGGCAGGTCCCACCATCCTCCCAAGAACACCCTGGTTCTTCCTGCACCCGTTCCACCTGAGAGGCTAGAGGTTCACCTCTGAGTCTACTGGAAAGTCCTCCAGCCCCATCCCCTTCTCTAGTGCCCTCTTTTCCTCTCCCTGCCTCTTCATTTCTGACAGGACTGGGGTTCAGCTCAGGGTTAGAGCACTTGCCTGGACTGGATCCCAGCATCACAAACACAAAAAACAAGTCTCTCTCCTTTTGTTTTGTCCCTCTCTCTGTCCTGTGTCTCCTGCCTCCGTGGTGGTGGCCATCATGTCACTCTCCTTGTCACACCTCCATGGCTTCCCTGTCCTAGAGGTGACCCCAGAAGGTTCTGGCATCACCTCACCGGTGCCCAAGCTTCGTAACCTTGCACTTTCCCCCAAGGACTAGAGTCCTGTGGGCTGCCAGGGATTTCAACCTGGCTTTGCCTTCTGGGAGCCCTGCAGCTGGGCTGCACGTGGAGTGGAGTGACAGAGTGCTCACCGCACATGCAGTTAGAAATAGCCGGTCCTGGGCTGGATCCCCAGAGCCACACAAAGCCACGCAACCTTTCAGTGCCTGTTTCCTCGTGTGTGAAATGGACACAGTAATCGAATTCAACTTACCAGCAGGTGGAGAAGAATTAATTGCAGCCATTGTTCATGCCAGACAAAGACCCCTGAGGTGCATCTTTGTCTGGCTCCTAGCTAGATGTGTGGCCCTTCTTGAAATTCTAGTACAATGTCTCCAGTGTTTTAATCCTTCTATGTCCAAAATAAAACCCTGCCCATCTCCTGAACCTGGTCACAGTGTGTGTCCCTATCTAAGCCAACTGGAACCACCCACAGTCATGCTATGCACACGTGCTGGTGCCAGATGACAGCAGTGACACCAGGATTCTGTGATGCAGGATTCCCTCCAGAAGTGCCACGTGTTCAACAGTCCAGCAGCCCCCAGTTACCAGGGACACAAACATCACCACATCCTTTCAGAGACCACAGTTCTACCCACAACAAACCCAGCTACTAGTCCTTGTAGATACTGAACATGAGAAATGTGGCAGTGCAGCTGAGAAGCCACGTTTTAAATAAACTTAAGTTTAAATAAGCATATGTGTTGATTGGGTGCTGGGTCGAATAGCACGTTTTAGATGATTGTCTTTATTGTTTCTCTGTGAGTGTGTTGCCTGGATTTAACTCAGGGACTCACACATACTACCACCGAGTTATATCCCCAGTCCTTACATTTTAGATAGGGTCTCACTAAATTTCCTAGGCTAGCCAGGAACTTGTGATCCTCCTACATCAGCCTCCCAGGTCACTGGGACTATAGGTGTGAACCACCTGTAACAGGTTTATAATTTTTCTTATATATTTCTTATATTAAGAAATCTTGGCATAGCCAAAGAGCACAAAAACGTTTCCTTACACTCTGTTTCTGGTGGCCACCCTCATACGTGCTGCGAAGTGGGGAGTCCACTGTTGCAATATGAGATGGAATCAGGCTCATTCTGGGTGGATAGGGCTGGCAGGGGAAAAAAACACACAGAAAATACCTTTCTCAGGGTCCAGGACAGCTTTGCAGCTTGAATCAAGCTCCCATCCTGGAGGGCATGGAGAGCAAGGGAGGCAAGAGGCAGCCAAGAGAGCCAGCACACCTGAAACCCCCCTATTCATTGGGGGAGAAGCCATTCATAGAATATTCCACCCAAATAAGGCAGGGGATTAGATTTCAGAGGGTAACCTTGCTATGGTCAGCAGTTTGACATCTTGAAAAGCCATGCCCACCTCAGGTGATGTGTGGGATCATAGGCAGAGCCAGAGAAAAGGCACACGGATGTCGTACAGCCCAATCAGGCAGCAACGTAAGCCCGGTTCCCTCACATGCTCAAATGCACATAGCTCACACCCACAGCCCACGGATGACTTGCACCAGTCGACACGTCACCAGCCCCATCTCCACCAAGCGGCCTGCGCAATGGTTTCATTAATGAGGTTCTAGGCATAAAGTTAGCTAGATGAGATCGAAATAAAACACACAGACTCAGTTACCTTATTTCTATTGCCAGGTCCGAGCGGGCTCCCCTCTCTGGTTCACTCCTCTAACAGCCCAGAAGGGCAGCAGGGATTACTCAGGGCTAGCAGGAGAGAGAGAGTTTGAACACGCCTGGGAGTAGCCTTTTATTGGGGAACAAGAGATTCAGGAGAGAATTCCATCCAATGAAGGTTGAGGGGGTGCTGAGGGCCATTGTCAAGTAGGAATGACGCATCGAAATTTCCTTGCCAAGCGTACCCCATGCTGCTTAGAGGACATTCGATGGGACATTGCATGCATGCTTTAATAAGGTGACCTTGCTCAAGGACCAAGGCGGATCCGGGTTTAGAGCTGATCAGGTTTGAGGAAGTAACCGGCTCCTTGAGTTTAAGGCGTTGCCAGTTTAAGACAATGGATTTTAGGGAAGTTGGGGGTTGAAGATTATTGCTGGGATTAGGGAGTTCCTGCTGCTTGTTCCCGTTGAGTTCTCCTGAGATTAAAATGGGATTTGGAGATAGCCTCATGGAGTAGGTGAATTGTGCGGGCAGAATGAGATTTCCCCTGAGCGTGTGTGGAGGCTGGTGTGAGATCGGGAATAAAGAATTGCTGCTTGAACCTACAAAGCTGTGTGGTGCCTCCTGAATCTTGTGCCAAGCCCAGACATTGCCAAGGGGGGACCGCACTCCAAGGTCAGGGTCAGTGATTGATTGGGCCCCCAGGGTCAGTGGTCAGGCACACCCCCACCTGATGAGCTCTCTCATCAGGAAAGGGCCAGGAAAGCTCCGACACAGCCAGAGCGCCTCAGGCCCTTAACGGGAGCCACCCAATCACGTGTCAGAAATGGCTTCCCACACCCATCCACAACACCACCCCTCGACTCTGGTGCTGGGGTACTCCCTATCATGCAGCACACGCCCACCAGCACGCTCTGTTCCATAGCTGTTACACATGGCAGGTCTGTCATCCCTCACTGCCACTACGTTTCCCACATTTGCTCTTTCAGAACTTGAGAGTTCTGCTTCCAGCCAAGATGAAGTAACGGATCAAAATTACTCTACCACAGGAAACAACAAAAACCTCAAAAACCTCACAGTTCCCAGTGCACAGGACTAAGGGGATGGAGGGGTAGCCCTAAAGGACAGGCATGAGCTGAGTGCTGTGGCCCTGACTTACTGACCACAGGAGGTTTTCTGGAGGTGTGCTGGGGAGAAGAACTCAGGCAAAGAGGACGGCACCGGGCTCCAGCAAGCAGGGACAGCTAGTGCAGAAGCCAGCTGGAGGGAAGGAGCCCTGGGAGTGCCTCTGAGTGCCTGCGGGTGGGCACCTGTGTGTCTGAACGTCCTCAAAGTCCATGAAAGCCAACCCCAAGAGCTGGAGCAGGAGGAAGAGTGCCTACCAACAGCTGGAAGGTGAAGGCTCTCTGGGAACTCGGCTCTCACACACAGGGCTGCCTGAGGCTCGGGGACACCCGTGTCCCATGGTTTCTGTCCTTTTCGCTGTCCCATCTTGGTTTCTATTTGTGTCTGCAGTGTTGCAACTGTCTCTTCACTGTACAGAAGCCTTAACCCCATCCAGAGCTTTCTCTCAGACACTGCAGCATGACCCATACAAAACAAGTCAATAAACTGTGCTTCTTGACCCATTTAAAAATTTCTATTTTTGATAAGTATTGATGAGAATAAAAGTCACAGGGAGAAATTATTTACAAACCATGATCTCTGATCTACATATACGAGAAATGTGTATAATCTTATATTTTTTTTTAGAGAGAGAATTTTAATATTTATTTTTTAGTTTTCTTTTTTTTTTTTTT